CTCCCCAAATTGAATCTCAATCTGATCAAACCTCTAGAGAAGCTAATTTACAGAAAATACAAAAGACAGAAGAACATGTTTGTATTCAGCAAAATTCAGACTCTGGACAACTCTATGTGACACACAGCCCAATTTCTTCAACAAATAAATTGCAAGAAATAAAAGAGAAAGAGAAGTGGAAGAGAACTAACAGAATAAAAAAAAAATTTTAAGATAAAATAAATTAATTGCAATAATTAGGTGTGGACCTTATTTGGATCCAATTCTGACACAAACACTATTAAAAAAACCTTAGGACATCTTACGCAATTGAAAATTGGAACATTGACTCACTATGTGGTGAAATTAAAGATTTATTGTTAATTTTAAAACTAGTATAGTAATAAGTGGTTATAGTAATGACCTGAATCTTCAAAACAAATGTTCAATTGTGGTCAGTAACTATGGTTAGGAAGGTAGAAATATATGTTACTCCTCTCAGAAAGATTTCCATATTCAGTGGTCAAAATGTAATAAATGTTGAAAGGAGTTAGTATGATGTAGTGCAAAAAGCACTTGGAATCAGACCAGATTGTGAAACCTCTCAGATCTTAAATTTCCCTCTCTGTGCAGTGGAAGTTGCTTGATATCTACTGAAAATCCCATCGAAGTATCGAGTGTAGGCAGGGACTGCAGTGTGTGCGCTGTAAATGTCCATGCCTTTCTTCTTTTCTTCTCTTGAATAAAAACAAATAAATATGCAAGCTTCAACTAGGAAGAAAAAAATCAAAGTAGTGGAAATTTCTTTCAGAAAGGCTATTCTAAGCCATAATTAATCAGCATCCCTGTTTTCCAATGTAGCTGAGCTTTCTAAGACAGAAATCTGAATATGTCACTTTTCATGCTTAGAACCATTTAGGGAAAAGTTCAGACTCCCTAGCATAGCCTGCTGCATGGAGTCCTTCAGGTCTGGCTTTTCCTGTCTCTCAGCCTCCACTGGCACCTCTGCCGATCCTCCCCCCACGACTACCTCACTCTTGAGCCATGTGGAGCTACTTACAGCTCCCAGAACATCCCGTGCTCTGCCCTCCTCTTGCACATACTGCTCCCAGGCAGCAATGCCTCTTCACACATACACCCCTGCCCCTCCTTCATCTGATGAATTCCTGCTTTTCTTTTCTCTGGGTGGGCTCCCCTGACCTCCCAGGACTAGACTGCCTTTCCTAAATGTTTCCAGTGGCACCCTGCACTGCCCCAGGAGAGCCCTCGACCACTGGATATAGCCCACACCAGACTGTGAGCTTCTGGAGGGCTGAGCCAGTGACCTCTCATCCTTGATCCTCAACATCAGCACGCTGCCTAGCGTACAATCAGTGCACGGTGAGTGCTGGTGAATGAATACTATTAGAGGTCGAGAACCCCCCAGGGAGGGGATGATGGGCACACGTTTGTTCTGCACTGATCTTTCCTGTCCTTTGCCCAGGTCTGCTTTCGGGAAGCTCCCCAAGCTGGCAGTCTGATCCAGGCTCCAAGAAGGGGAAACTTACCGCCACCATTTTGATGCTAAGTCCCTTTCCCTTTAAATTTTGGGTTGGGAATTGTTTATTACTGTTTCCATGGTGCTCCAGACGTTCAAATGTCTTATTCTTCTCATTTTTTTCCATTGAGACTTATGTTCAGATGTCTCTGGAACCTTCCCATATATCAACTTGAAATTGGCTTTGGGTATTAAGACCTGCTACTTCACCCAAGGTCTTTGAAGCCAGCAAATGTTACAAGGCCCGGACCCACTAGAAACAGCCTAATGGTGGTCTCTTTGGCTGTGTGACTCTTGTAGATGGTCCCTTTCGCAAGCCCCTTAAGAGTAAAAGGTTTAAAAAACGTTCCCCCGGAGGGAATAAGTGTGGTCTTGTCTTAGAGCATGCTGTTGGCTGTCCAGAAGCTCAGATTCCAATCCTGGCTCTCTCAAAGAAGCTCCGGGCAAATCATTTCACTGCTCTGAGTCTGTTTCCTGGAGAAGTGAAGAATTTGTACCAGCTGTTCAAACGGAGGTTCAGGGATATGTCAAATGACAGCATAGAACACAGGACACCTTCCTGGTCTCTCAGTCGTACTCCAAGATTTTGGAGACAGAACATATTGTGTTAAAATGAACACAAATATTCTTTAGTAGAATGCAAAATCGAGATGAATTTTAAGAGGAAACTCAATTTTATTGGCAGAGTTTGAGGAACACTGAGTTCTCCTTCCAGTGCTAACTTTCCATTAACTGTTCCAGCCTCTGAGCTTCTGTCTGTCTGTCATCTAGATAACCCTCTTGAGGAGAACACCCTAGTCCTCGGCAGTGCTGAGTAAATAAGGTATGGTTATAATTTTAGAGAGTGTTATTTCTAAGGAGATACAGTATTGCCGACAAGACTAACAGAAGTGGGGCCAAGCTGAAGCCCTTTGGAATCTGCTTTTAAAAATAGCAAGAACCATTTATAATTAATGCATCTTAAGTATCTATATATAGCAACCTGAAATTCTAGAAAGGCTTCTTTTCTCATGGAAGCAAAAATATTCTTTCTTCTTAGCAGAAAGCAAACTTTGTTATCAAGAGTTCAGAATTTGTGGCATCAAATTATCATCTAATGAGCTTTTAACCTTGTGGAAAACCTTGAAAATTAGATTTACCCAAAAGAAAATCCCTTATTTGAAAAAGAGCATTCTAGGGTATCATCTTCCTCATCATCTTCAGTAAGGATTCTATTTCTAATGATGCAAAGCAATTTTAGTGTTTGTATCATTTACCTCCCTACCATGATGAATCATTGATAATTATAGTTTGAAGATTCAGTTCTTTCCCTCATAGTTCATTCTAGAGGCTTCTAATTATTGGGGGGTTTTCAGTATATGTTTGTCTAAAGTTCTATCAGTTAATAAATAGATCTGTAGGAAGCCAGTGAGTTTAAGGGGCAAGTGGTTGGATGGTGCTCCTATTGACACCCCCGATAAGCATTTTTATCTCCTTAATTAAAATAAAATCACAGCTATTTCTTGAGAAAGAATAATGATTTGAAGTGAAATTAGCAAGAGAAGAAATTGCCAATTTAAAAATGAAAGACATGGGGGCCGGCCTCGTGGCATAGTGGTTAAGTGCGTGCCCTCCGCTGCTGGCGGCCCTGGTTCAGATCCCGGGCGTGCACTGAGGCACCGCTTGTCAGGCCATGCTGTGGCGGCGTCCCAGATAAAGTGGAGGAAGATGGGCACAGATGTTAGTCCAGGGCCAGTCTTCCTCAGCAAAAAGAGGAGGATTGGCATGTATGTTAGCTCAGGGCTGATCTTCCTCAACAAAAAAAAAAAAAAAAAAGACATATTTCTGAATCTTTACAGGATTCCTCTTAGACAAGCTAGCAAATCTGGATTTTAGCATCTTTTGCTTGACTTAAGAGAAAAAAATAACATGATCAAATTAAAATTATACAGCTGTCAGCATTCAAGCCAGACAGTTCACAATAGACAAGAAAAATTGCCTTTCTAATACTGGTATAATTAGGCTGTAATGCAGATGGAGGCTTCTGTGAATTCTCTTCTCCACTTAGAAAATGGAGTGTTGCTTGCCACCTTTCTTTGTCATGAAGTGAACTAGATAGTCTTTTTTGTGTGTGTGTGAAAACCAACAAATAGGCCGTTCTGTGGCATCTGCTGACAAAATATGTAATTTGTATCCTGAGGTTCCTGATTTTTATTTATCCTATTTCACAAGAAATAATCATTTTTTTGAAAAGCAAAGCCAAATGTCTTAAAGCAAATCTTTCTTAAAATAAATAAAACATAATGAAACAGAGCTCTTCAATTGAATTTGAAAGATATGTACTTTCTGATTATGTTCTTTCCATTCTGGGAGTTCAGAGAAAGCAGATTTCATATTGCTTCCCTAATACTTAGTACAATTGCTTAGTACAATTCCTCACTTTTAAATAATTAGCTATTTTGAAAAGAGGGCTGTTTGATCTGCTAGAATCATTTCCAGCCTGCTCAAGCTTTGCTGAGGTCCTGGAATAAGATCTTGGTACATGATATAAAACAGACAACCTCTCTGTTTCCATTTAACTTCTGTTGTTGTTGTTGTTTTAAGAAAAACTTAATTGTTTTTTCTTTTGAGATTAAAAATAATAGGTTATCACAAATACTCAGAAGGACCTTTTCTTAGGCCCAATTTTAGCAATATAGATGCAGAAGAAATGACTGGAACAGACTTTTTTAAGTCAATCTTGCTTAAAGGAATGGAAAAGAAAAATATTTTTCTCACAGATAAATAGTCAGAATCAAATACCAAAAGTAAAGAATTTGGACCAATGAATAGCTCAATTTAAAAATGATTTTAAAGCAGTGTTGCTATTACCATAAAAATCATAATCATTTTATTACTTACTGAAATTCCAATTTTCACTTTAAAATTATGCTTTGTGATCTGGTTGCATAATGCCTGACACATGGGCCAACAAATAATATCTGTTTAAAAAAATCTAATCTATTTCTCTTATGTCATGCATCTTTTGATATTTTCATTATAAGCTGTCTGCCTATGGGCATCACATCTAAAATGGAGACCACATCTGTGTTCTAATGGAGTCTGTGCTTGTTCTGAAAGGTTATGTGAATATAGTAAACCACGCCCCCCTGCCCTTTGGAATCAGTAGGTATTTAAAATGTTTTTTATGAAGAAGATCCCAGTAAGTCTTTTTTTCATGGAGTTATGGTTGGTTTACTATCTGTTAATGAAAAGAAAGTTTTTGCTTTAAGCTTTTTGGGGTTTTTGGCCTAGAAAAAATTTTATGTTCTGTAAACCGTAAATACGGTTGAATGAAAACATGTGCTCATGTTAAGCAGAAAGGTACGTTGTTTCACGTGGGACAATGGCAGTTATGTTCCCAAGGGCCATCTTTGTCTTAGAGAAGGTGTATTTTATTCTCATACTGTGAGACCGAGAAGTATTAACATGCCTCTTTCTCTTTGATCTTTGCCTTGTCTCTTAGTGTGGCCGTCACCAGGTCCAGAGATGTACCTTCCTTTGGACCTCCCATCCCCAAAGGGGTCACTTTCCCGAAGTCAAATGTGTTCAGGGACTTCCTTTTGGCCAAAGTGATTAATGCAGAAAATGCCGCTCATAAATCGGAAAAGTTCCGGGCCATGGCAACACGGACCCGCCAGGAGTACCTGAAAGATCTGGCAGAAAAGAATGTCACCAACACCCCTATTGACCCATCTGGCAAGTTCCCGTTTATCTCTCTGGCCTCTAAGAAGAAGGAGAAGTCTAAGCCCTACCCAGGAGCTGAGCTCAGTAGCATGGGGGCCATTGTGTGGGCCGTCCGTGCCAAAGACTACAACAAGGCTATGGAAATAGACTGCCTTCTGGGGGTCTCCAATGAGTTCATCGTCCTCATCGAGCAGGAAACCAAGAGCGTGGTTTTCAACTGTTCCTGCAGAGATGTGATCGGGTGGACCTCAACTGACAGCAGCCTCAAAATCTTCTATGAGCGGGGAGAGTGTGTTTCGGTGGAGAGTTTCATTAACAGTGAGGATACCAAAGAGATTGTCAAAAGGTTGCAGGTGAGTCTGTTCCTTCCACTTACCTACAAGCAATTTCCATCTCATAAAGCTTTCAGTATCCACTAGAGCCAAGTCACTGAAGCTTGTACTGTTTTATTAGCAGCTCTCAAAACTCCCCTTCATGTTGTGAAGCAATACAGAGTTGATCTCACACGCATTTTCCATCATTTTTCGGAAAAGCAGTAGAACATATGGAAGAAGGCACAATTACTGTGTGTGTTAGAACCCATTTGCATGTGACCTGACCCCACTGCCTTGGTGACTGATGATGTAGCCCAGCCAACCTGCTGTAGTTGTTGAAAAGAATTGTTTGATTGAGTATCTGTTGCCTTGAAGTTTTTAAGGGCAAATGAGTAGCAGAATACGGTTTCCCTTAGCTGCCAGCTCCCTGTAGGTCGCTGTTAGAGGTTTCCTTGTAACTTCAGTGAAGACATTGAGTTCTTTGGATGCAACAAATATATTCTTTTTGGTCTAATGAATAGAGACTAGTGAAGGGGAAATACCCAGACTGCTCTTCACCTGGCAGTAGACTATTCAGAAATAACCCTGCTTGCGGCGTTTTTCCAGTTCCATGTCCACCACTTAATACCCTGTTGCGTTAAACCATGATATCTTTTGTTTCCTTCTCTAGTTTGTGTCAAAAGGTTGTGAATCAGTGGAGATGACTCTGCGAAGGAATGGGCTAGGACAGCTTGGCTTCCATGTCAACTACGAGGGCATCGTGGCGGACGTGGAGCCCTACGGCTATGCCTGGCAGGCAGGGCTGAGGCAGGGCAGCCGGCTGGTGGAGATATGCAAGGTGGCAGTGGCCACTCTGAGCCACGAGCAGATGATCGATCTCCTGAGAACATCTGTCACGGTGAAGGTGGTCATTATCCCCCCACATGATGACTGCACCCCCCGCAGGTAGGTCTGAGTTGGCAGCTATGAGCCTGAGAGTCCAGGGCCGGGTTTGTGGACCATGTAGAATGTCTCCCGCTGAGTAAGGGGAGTAGCGTGTTGTGAAGAGCGCTAGGTTACATATGATGCTGAAAGTTCCATCCATGGAAAGTCTGACTTTCAGCATGTGGCGGCAGCAGCTGGAAAGAATGACTAACTTGGACCATCCCCAGGATTTACGTCTCTGGATTTATGAAGTTGCTGTTACAGATAGAGGAGTCTGGGAATATCCCTCTTAAAACATCTTGCACCAGTAGCTGAGAAACATTGAACACTTACCGTTAAGAGACACTCAGCATCACAGACTGTCAGAATTTTTTCTTTCATGTTCCATGGTGGTCTGACTCTTCTGACGCTCCCGTTTGTACCCGATGGCCGTCCAAAACTCAAAGTACTGTTTTGACCCCTGTTGTGTCAGCCTGGAGGGCTGAACACGACTGACCAGGCTTTTTCTTAACTGCATCTGCATGTGTCGGGAATTGGCTTCAAATGAGCTGGTCCTGCTCACGATGCTTTGGCAGGTTGATTCCCAGCCTTTTCCCAAAGGGAAGCCCGGGAGCTCCCTGCCCTCCCGGCTCCTGCCAAGCCAGCAGCACTGAAAATTTAATTTCTCTGTCTCTGGGGAGTTTTCTTGATGGAACAAATTTAATCAACTGTTTCTTTTCTCCTTTGGGCATGCACATGCTATTTTTGCTAGTTTTTTTCAATCTCTTAATTTGCTTTGAACCCATTATTTTCTAAGAGTTTCTCTTAAGTTCTGGCAATTAATTCTTAGGCCTTCTAGGGCCAAGACTATATATATATATATATATATTTTTTTTTTTTTTGGAGAGGAAGATTGTCACTGAGCTAACATCTCGGCTAATGTTCCTCTATTTTGTATATGGGACGCCGCCACAGCGTGCCTTGATGAGCAGTGTGTAGGTCAACGCCTGGGATCCGAACCAGCAAACCCCGGGCCACCGAAGCGGAGCGCACAAACTAAACCACTATGCCACCGGCCCGGCCCCAAGACAATATGCTTTATCTTATTTTTTTCCCAAAAACATGGCCAGCCCTGCATCTGAACTCTCACAGATTTATGAACATCAGATGGTAGAAGTATAAACAGTTGCAATGGGTTATTTGTGTCCTTTAAAAAGTAAGCAGCAATGACAGTCTAAATGTACTTCAGTTCTTCAAACCAAGTGTCACAGGCAGTCTATGCTTGGGATAGCATTTCTTAATGCTGCTTACCTCCTAGACGGCCCAGAGATTATGTGCCTATGTCGGAATATGGTGAAATCCCTTTGTTTGATAGCTTTGAGAAACGCACCCTTTTGGATGACTGGATTTCTCTGGAAACCAAAATATATATCCGGAACTTTTTATTTCAGCTATTTGGGGGAGAATATTTTGCAACTGCCTTATACACATACCCTGCTTTAGTTAAGCATGTCTTTTCTGGTCTCCTCAAGCACATCATCATTAACGTGAAGCATTTTGCTGAACTGGGATTCAAGTGTGACTCTTGAGGTGGATCAGAAAGACAGGCTCTCACAACCCTCTCCAACTGCTCTGTGCTTCTCCTTTTGTCTCTCTGTCTTCTGTCCCTTGGTCTCGCCTTCAGATTGTCCACTTCATTACTTCTAAACAGGCAGCTATAAACTGGAGAAGATAACCAAGCTTTGTAACTTGTCAACCTTAATTACACAGCACAGAGTTATAGATGCTAGTGTAAGGACTGTCTGCTCAAAATGGAGCCTGTAGATCTTGTGACGCCATCTTGTCTGCGCAGAGGTCTTTCCTCTTGTTTCTAGGCTCCCCAGGTTGTATAGGGGAGAGGAGAGGGAAATAGGTGTATGTGAGGAAATAGGACGAACGGGCAACGTTACTGACATTGAACTGTGAATAGTAGTTGTTACTAGAAAGAGATCCAAAGGCCTGGCCCTGGATAGATGGGTCGTGATAGGAGGTGGTTTATCTTCAGCAAGATACTAGACTAGATACATCTTCTGTGGTGTGTGGATAAAAACAACTAACATTTGCTGAGTGTTTAATGTGCCAGGTCCTGGAAAAAGCACTTTTATATGGATTAGTGCATTTAATTCTTATAACAACCCTATGAGCTTCCCAAGCTCATCTGGTAAATTTAGGTCTAACTTCAGAATCCAAGCTCTTAACTGCTACTTTGTATGCTTGGGGCACAAATCCTTTCCTTATATACCAGCAAAAGCAGGGATATGCTGGTAACTGGCTTTCTGTTGGGGAAAAGAACCTTGATTTGTAACGTTTGCTGATTCCTATGATGTAAATACTCCCACTGTGGCCAATTTCAAGGTACCAACATGACACCGCTGAACGCAGGGTTGAGATGGATGCTCACAGTCCTCTCTTGCAAGCCAGGCCAGGCTGGCTCCAGCACGCCCCTGAATGAATGAGCCATATTTGTCTTAATCTCCCAACACCGCTTTTAAGGCACTCTTGCCATCCTCTCCTAGCCGGCAGAGCTGGCAGTGACATGACCAAAGGGTGTTAGGACCTGGGATAGGAGGCTGGGATGAAGGATCAGTGCACTGCACAGCCCCATGGGCCTCGGACACACAGTCTGCTCCCTTTGCTACAGTTTCCGTCCAGAAAGCCACTGTCAGACCTGAGCAGTTGTGAAATGATGCCACTGATGCCTTTGGAGGACGGAAAGCCCTCCTCTCCCCTTCTTGCCTTTAGAAAGGACTTCAAAGGAACAATTGAAGCATTAACACCTTGCTACAGTTTTCAGCAAAATAAGCTAATGCTCTTCTGTCATTTTTTTTTTCTCCTCCGCACTTCACACTCCTACTGCTGTTTTCCTAGCAACTAATTACTCTCTTCTTTGACTAGTCACTCTCTTCTTGTCAGCTGTTACTGCAGCTCCAGCGTGAGAACAGGCCTCCTCCAGGCACACTGTCCTACTGCCCCTCAGCGTGTGCTTCTCAGGGTCGCTAGGAGCCCGGCGTGGTGATGGTACATAATTACAAACACCCATGGGTGTTCCCTTGAGAGACTCATTAGTTTTGAAAAGGCAGGTTTTTTGTTTTTAGTGAAAAAGCCAGTTTAACAACAACAAAGTGGGGTTTCAATAACAAATGTAAAATAGGGCTCTTTTTCCCTGTTCTCGGGAAATAAGCAGATTCTCTATGAATTGCTTTCAAACCAAAGTTTTTGTTGAGGGAAGAAGGGACAGGGGAGGTAAAGCAAAATTCCTGAGCCCCTACTATGTACTGGCTTTAAAAAATCTTCTTGGCAGTTTCATTTCTGTTAAGACAATGAGGAGAACGAGGCTTGGAGAGATTCAGTAGCTGCCCAAAGAGGGAACAGGAGCAGCCAGAGTGACACATTATGGAGCAGTCCCGGCCGAAAGAGCTTTGGTACTTACCTGCCAGCTTCACTGGAAGGCTGCCCCAGCGAGTGAGAGGTCAGACTGCAGGAGGGGCCCCTCACCCCATCCATCGCCAACTCCCGTTAGTCCGTTGGTGTCTACGACCTCTGACTCTTCAACAGTTGTTCTCTTGGCAAGATGAGAAATACCCAGATAGCAGATTAAATAGTGACGTTCTGAATGGTGTTGCATGGGAGTAGCAAACCTTTATTCTGTTGAGGGCCACTAGCCTATGGTTTTTAAAGAAATCAATCAAGGGCCATTCAAGAGGAAGAGCTAAAAACAAGTGACATAAAAGGACCAAATCACCTTTTAAAGAAGATTGAGTCATGAAGTTTTTTCATCCTCTTAAAAAACAAGTATTTCAAAGTGCAAAAACATACTGCTTTAGAGCTACCAGGGCTGTCAAAGATCTTCTCGGTCAAATTGCTCACTTTTCAGAGGAGGAACTTGGGTCCAAAGAGGTTAAGTGTTTTTCCAAGCCAAAGTTAGTGGCTTCTTAGGGACCTAGCTGTCCTCAAACATCTAACTATTCTGATTCAAGAGTCCAGTGTTATGATGTTCTGTTCAATATACTGTTCACCTGTTTTCTATCTGTATTTCTTAGTGTCCTAAGGGAAAAGGAGAGAATAATGGGTAATCAATTAAAGGAGAAAGTTAGAATAAAGAGACTAAAAAAAGAGTGGAGATGGAGTGGCTTTTCAATTAACTTATGGTTTCAGTGTGTCACCCTGTGTCACTTTTAGCAATGAAATTGTAATCCCTGTTGACCATAGCTCTTGAACAGTTGTTGGGTTTTCCATTTTGTCGTGGGCTGTGCTCTGAGTGAAATGCGATAGTCATTATAAGATGAAGAAGTTTGGGGACTTGGAGTAGAAGTAATCTTTAGTTAGTAGTGACTGAAATAAGACTAACCTATAAGTAGATTAATTCTCTAGGTTCAAATCCTGGCTCTGCCACTTCCTGGCTGTGTAGTCTTGGGCAAATTCATCTCTCCAGGCCTCCATTTCCTCTTCTGATAAGTGGAGATGATGATAGTACCTGCTTCAGAGGGTTGTTCTGGTGCAGCTAGGTTAGTGCCTGGCCCATCGTGGGCTGAAAGCGTTAGAGTTATTGTTGTTTGACCACTTTCTCTTGGAATGAATGAATTTTTATGTCTGTTGTTAAAAGCCTTTTATGAATTTTTATGTGTCATTAAAAGCCAGATTTTATCTTTGTCTTCAGCGAACTGCCCACTTCTTATTCCATGTATCATTCTTATGTTTTACAGAGATAAGGAAGCGATTGGAAGCTAGTGAGTGGTCCGCCTCGCCAAGAAAGGCAATTAGACATGGCGGATGGCTGAGGTTTAGCACTGTGGAACCTTTGTTTTCCATTCTCTGTGAATGAATCTTCTCTTCCTTCAGGCTTTATCATACTACATTCTGTTACTATAGAATATGCAGAAAGTTTCTGGTTATATGTTAAGAGTGGTGGAAATGAAATGTAGACTGTAGAGAAGACAAAATCTTTGGCTAATGGGATCTTTTAACCAGTTTTATTATTAAATATTATACAACTTAAAAGATTATTTTAAAGAGTGTTTGAACTAGAAGAAAGTTTAGCAATTATCAATTCCAAATCTTTCATTTTACAAAGAAATTAAGGCCCAGTAGGGAAAGCATCTTGTCCATTTGATATTATATTATTATTTGTTTCTGTTATTATTTATTTATTATCGTCTACCCTGATTTGAGGTGGACTTGAAGCAGCCTATGCAGGTACGTGTAGAGCACCACAAAATTAAAGCTCAGCGAGGGAATCTGCGTGTGTTGGGGGAGGGAGTGAAGGGAAAACATGGCCTAGGGGAAAATTTTTAAAAAGTTAGTGCCCAAAATACATGATGATAAAGTTCTGTACATGTGCTGGTTCCTAGCATCCAACAGAAGGGGGCATAGATGATATATATGATCCATTGAGTTTACAAGTTAAAGCAGACCATTGCTAGTCCTGATTTTGAGGTGGACAGAAATTTTCCCATGGATTATTGTAAATTTTTATTAAAATTCCTTTTGCAAGCTGCAACATTCTTGCATTATATTTATAGATCCAGAGCAGTAGATACTATGTAATATGCCATATTTAGTCAGAAATGGAAGACTTCATACCATACTACACTAATACCTCCTTAACAACCCAAAAAGTGTTTCAATGGCATATTTTTGTCAAAAATATCAGAATCAAAGCTAGAAATTGTATCAAAGCCTAAGGTGATATTCTCTCATATCAGAGAAGAGTTTATTACATAAGAAGTCATTAGCTGCTAAAAGTAATGTCAGATGTGCCATAAAGCAGTGTTTTGCAAACTATGAATCATAACTTTTGAGCATAAAATCAATTTAGGATGTTGCACCGCATGTATTTTTTCAATGAAATGGATAAACACAGAATATAGCAGAATGGAAGCTCTCAGAGGAAGGGTGTGTATGTGTGTATTTATGGTTGTGCTGTATCACAATGTAAAATGTATTTCTTAGGGGGCTCATGGGTCAAAAAGTTTGAAAGCCATTGTCATTAAAGCATAAAAGGGGTACAGCAGAGCCTTGGGCTGAGGGTCAGATTAAGGTTGACCTAGGCTTTTGGGGGAGTCAGGAGGAATGGTAAGGAAACTGCAAGCAAAGGTGCCCGTTGGAGACTTGGGCTAAGACTGAGGAGGGCCAGGACCCCTACAAATACTCCAGAAACAGCCCTTTTCCATACCAATGGCTATCACAGAGACATGGAAGAGGATGCATTGTGGGTACACGTTTGATGTGTCTGGCGTCATACCCTGAGACACATAGACAAGGTCACAAAAGAGAGGCACCTTCTATGTGCCTCTTCTCCCACCGACATAAGCCCCTTCCTTCCCCACATCAAGACCAGGCTTTTGGCTGGATGCCCTTTGCACCTGTGCTGTCCGGTGCAGGAGCCATGAGTCACCTGTGGCTAAGGAGCCCTTGCAATGTGGCTAATCCAAAGTGAGATGTGCTATGAGTGGAAAATACACACCAAATTTAGAAGAATGTAAAATATCTCATTATTAATTTTTTTAATATTGATTTATTGATTTCATGCTCAAAAGATAGCATTTTGGATATATTGGTCTAAATAAAATATATTATTAAATTAATGTCACCTGTTTTATTTTTTAAATGTGGCTAGTAGAGATTTTAAAATTACATATGTGGCTCATATTTGCAGCTCCCATTGTATTTCTACTGGATGGTGCTGGTTTGGACTCTCCTCATACTGTCTCTAAGGTCCCCCTTAAAGGACGATTTCATAATCACTCTTAACCCTTCCTTTCCCGGGCTTCCCACCTGCTTCTGAGTCTTTGAAATTCCTGTAAGAAAGAAAGTCATTTTGGGGGCCGGCCCGGTGGCGCAGCAGTTAAGTGCGCACACCCTGCTTTGGCGGCCCGGGGTTTGCAGGTTCGGATCCCGGGTGCGCACCAATGCACTGCTTTGTCAAGCCGTGGTGTGGCAGCATCCCATATAAAGTAAAGGAAGATCAGCACAGATGTTAGCCCAGAGCTAATCTTCCTCGGCAAAAAGAGGGGGATTGGCATCGAATGCTAGCTCAGGACTGATCTTCCTCACACACACAAAAGAGTCACTTTTTTCACTTAGTGGTGAAATTCAAATGCACAGCTTGAGTTAGTGCTGTAGTAGGAATAGGTTTTTTCAGTAATTTCTCTGTCAGTCAAGTTAATGATTGACTGAACCTTCCTTGGTTGTTTGAGTAAAGGGAATGGAAAGCAGGTTCCACATTTCCTAACGTTTGGGGGTTGGGACCGTGGCACAAAAACGGGCTAACGTGACAGAAGGCATTTGTGCCTGCCGTTCATTTCACTCAGGCCGCTACCAGGGGACAGCCTTGCCATGGGGGATTTCTGCCTTTGGGGGAAAAAAAAAAGCCTGATTTCAGATTATGCTTTGTTCTCTGGCAATTTGATAATTGCGGAATTTCTATAATTGGCTTTTTTTTTTTTCTCCTTCTGAGCTAAATTTGGCTCTCAGTTTGGATTTTAAGATTTCTCCTCACTTAATTTTTTGATTATCGGGATCCCAACAAATTCAAAACAGAACACCGTTTTAGATCCCCAGTCATGATACTCAACGGAAGATGTGTAAAGCTGACTGACTGTTTCCTCCGAGGCCCCCACTTAGGGCTTGCTGTCCTGGCGGCCTTCCTTCCTCAGGTCTCAGTACTGACTCTGCCCCCTACCCCCACCACCCATCAGGGTGACCATAGGTCTCATTGTTTTTTCAGAACTCCATATCTCAGACTCAACAGTTGGGATTGAGCAAAGGGAAATACTAGTATAACACTGGGGGTTCTGGTTTTTGAAAGGAAAATAATTATGAGGCCCAATGATTACAAGATGGTTTGGAACAGAGAATGAAGTGTTTGATCCATTTTAACTGTTAATGAGAATCAGTGTGATTCCACTAACAAACAAAAACGATATTAATTTTTTTTGTCTCTTTGCCCTCCCCCAATAGGAGCTGCTCTGAAACCTACCGCATGCCAGTGATGGAGTACAAAATGAATGAAGGAGTTTCATATGAATTCAAGTTTCCCTTCCGAAATAATAACAAATGGCAGAGGAATGCCAACAAGGGGCCTCATTCACCTCAAGTCCCGTCCCAGGTGCAGAGTCCCATGACCTCGAGGCTGAATGCTGGGAAAGGAGACGGGAAGATGGCTCCTCCAGAAAGAGCCACCAACATTCCTCGAAGCATCTCCAGTGACGGGCGCCCGCTGGAGAGGCGGTGAGTGTGCCTCAGAGGTTTGCTCTAAATCTCTGCCCCAAACTGAAATAGCACCAGACCCATAAGCACTCACTGTTAGGTCTTCCCATATTTTACTAGAAGTCAAGAATTAAAACTGAGATGCATGTACCAGTGGTTTTCCAACCATGGTAGCCTTCCAAAGCCATAAGGATAAATGAGGATGTATTCCAGCATAGCACTTGGCTCTGTGTGATGGTATTTGGGCTCTGTCATTTCCATATGATATCAACAGAAATCGTCACTGCACACTTAGTAGCCATGTGGATTAGAACTTGGCAGACTCTTTGAGGTGACATTGACCGTATTATCATCTTTGACAGTCATCATCTTTTGGGAATAAGTGATATGATAATAGCAACAGAATGTGGGTTTTTGGTAGAGTATCTGTATTTGTGTCACTTTGCTAATAAAGAATTGTGTGAAAGAGAAACAACTAGTATAGTACAAACGTATTTTCCATTGCTCTGAAAGTAGAATAAAACAGTGGGTATGTTAAAACACTCAGCCCTGAGTAAAGTAAGCAAAATGAGAGGGATTGAGGGATCTCAGAAAGGAAGAAACCAAGGTTTGCTGTTAAATTGAAAGTCACAGTGAGTTCCCTCACATATGATAACTGGTTAACTCGTCCTTAACAAGGATGCCCTGGCACTTTTGTCTGGAATTCACTGTAAAATTCTGCACTTTGAACCAGAATCTAGGCCAAAAATTAAACTAGATTAAGTACTTTTAAAATGTGAATAAGAATTGGCTATAAAATTTTAAATAATTGCACAGTAAATTTAGTTACCCCTAATTACCAATGCTAATGAAGGAGACAGTTGCATTCAGTAACCTGCCAGTCACCCGCTAGAAGAAGCCAACATCTTTCTGTCCACCCACTGTCCTTTCCCCATCACTTCTGCTTGTCTTGATCACATCTCAGAGTGTTTTTGTGTCTCCCATGCTAGAGAGGGATCAGAAATGCTTGGAGCTGGGGAGAAGTCTCTGTTCCAGGAGCTATGTTGGGTAGAAGGAGGGTCCCTGTAGGACCCAAAACGTGACCGTGGCTCATCTGAGCAGCAGGAACTAGGTCCAGCAAAAACAAGGTGCCAGGGAAAACGGGTCCCAGCTATGCTTAGTCATTGGTTCAGATGGGGAGCAGAGAGCTGGAGGTTTTAAAAACCGCACTATGGTGTCTTTATCTTAGTCTCACTGTTGAGCTGCTGCATAAAACATTGTCACTTAACTATTTCAGAAATACTAAAATACCACGTGGAAATAATTTAATAAAAAACAGACAAACAAACAAAAAAAACTAGTTGTCTTTCTAAAATTTCTCACTTAATCCTGGAAATTTATTTACAGAGCCATGCTATTATCTCAGTAAAGGATTGCTCTCCGAAAGTGGCCACATTCCCATCTGGACTCCTCGCTTTCATTATTTTGAGGAGGAAAAACATCCAGGAGATCTCTGAATAAATTCTTTGTTCTACACATTCCACCCTTGGCTCTCTCTGAGGTGTGTGCTAACTGGAAGTCATGATTTGGCCCACGTTTTGAAAGATGAACCTAGGAAACCATTATTTAGAGAAGGACCTTTTTTCCCTCTCAATGCTATTTTCTTTCTCTCCAGAACAATGATCGGGCTTTTACAAGTGAAATTGTTTTTGTGTTATTTTCTTTATACAATATTCCATATAATAAAATAGCAGAATGTATTTTGATTCCACGTTGACTTTAATTTCTGCAACAGAAACTAAAGCTTGTTGCTGACAATACTGACCTCCAAAAGTGAAAATATCTTTTGTAGCTAATTATCATCCTGTGTTGCAAGCAGCTTTTGGTGCTAGAGAATGCATCAACTCCAGTTTTTCCGGATGGAGCTCTTTGAGTTCTAGAGGTTATTTCTGTGTGTATTCTGTCTCCCTTTCATCTTAACTCCGCCCAGAGGAAAGGGAGTCGAAGTTCTTACCGTAAAACTCTGTAAGAGCAGCCCTGTGACTCTCTAAGCTATCTAGATAAAAGTGGCGGAGGTGAGGCCACCAGTGGCTTTTGGGGAAATAACCTCTACTCAATTCCGTCTAAAGCCTCTTAGTTTCAGGTATTCTGTAGGACACTGCACTAGGATTTCAGATCTTAGTGTAGCATAGTGACTTGTAAAATCTCAGCCCTCCATTTTCAAGATATTTGGGTTAATGTGGCTCATCTTCATTTTGAAGTATGTGGTAATTAGATAGATATTCTTCTTTTGTGAAAATTTAAGAATTCAGTTTCCTATCTCAGCGTTCCTAATTTTTAGTAATACGATATTTCTTTTTTTAAGTTTTAACTTCGAGTCATAAACAGAAGGTAGTTTTTGAGAAACTTTGTTTGCTACTGTTTTAGGAATATTTGGGTGTAGAATAGACTCATGGCATTCATCAGGAATACTTCCTGAGTCCTTCATGAATCCACAGATTCGTACAGTCTACCTGGGAATATAATTTCTTCTATGAAATGAAGTAAAATATAACTGAAAAATGCATGCATTCCCTTCATGGTCTTACTGAGATATGGAGGTGAGGCCCCTGGTTCACACGTCCTCATCCATTTGACTGACTCTCCCCTTCATACCAGCCCTGTCCAGGGGCCATTTACATTTGTACCTGGGCAGTCTGTAAAGGTATGGACCTTCCAGATGAATCACAAATAGTCAAAACAAATACTTGAATCTTGCCTTGCCGATAATGGCATGAGCTCCATATTGAAACTAAAGTATGGCCTTTACATAGCTGTTTCCTTCCACTTATTTTTCTCCCCCAGGTTAGGCAAGTTGTGTTTAACCGTGAGAAACTAGCTTAAATTAGGAGCTGTCTCAAGTCTGCCCTGCCCATGCTACACAAATCTGCCTGCGTCATTCGCCATGGCTGGATCCAGCACGGTTCATTTTAGAAGAAAACATTAATTTACTGCTTGTAGAAGCATAGTTTTTCTTGAATTATATGCAAGATCCCAGACTTAAAGATTATTAACAACAATTTTTAAAAAATATATTTGTGCAGTGGATTATTCTTTTTCCTTTAATTCCAAGGTCAGGATTTGTATGGTATACTAAAATGTGTTGGCGTTTGGAGTTTCTAACAAGAATTATTTCGCTGAATTGTGTTTTCTATACATTAAGAGAAACTGATACAGTAAGAACGGGTGACCCAGTGGCCATCTAAATAGAGTAAAGTCTAATTCTATTTGGTTTAAATACATGAGCTTTATGCGTTTCAAAAGGGTGGGCTTTTGAATACAGAATTTTATAGTATTTATGGGGGTAGTTTTTTGTTTTTTTTGTGTGTGTGTGTGTGAGGAAGATCAGCCCTGAGCTAACATCCGCCAATCCTCCTCTTTTTGCTGAGGAAGACTGGCCCTGGGCTAACATCTGTGCCCATCTTCCTCTACTTTATATGGGACGCCGCCACAGCATGGCCTGACAAGCGGTGCATCAGTCCTCACCCGGGATCCAAACCTGCAAGGCCCAGGCCGCCAAAGCGGAGCGTGTCACTTTAACCACTATGCCATGGGGCTGGCCCCAGATGGGGGTAGTTTTTATTAACAGAATTAATATTTATTCAACAAAAATAGATAATCTGATGCAATCACTCTTTTGGCCTCAAATGTATCTAGAGTGTAAAGGTAGAACTGAAATAAAAATAGCTGACTGTAGCACATTGAACTTAACACATTTCTGTGTTTAAACATAATGTGGGATCAGTAATAAAATCTTGATCTGTGTTAATCTGCTCAGGAAAGTTAGTTATTTCAGGGCCTTTGTATAAATACAGGCATCTTAGCATATAAAAGAACTTTCCTTTCTCTTTTTTTAGATGAAATATTAGCGGCGCTTATATAAATATTTGGTGTTGGCTCTTAAAGAACCGTTGATACTTTTGAGTTTTACCTGGATGCCATGTTATTACCCTTTCCCTGCTGCATTGAGCTCTGAGTGGCTGGATGGAGAGGGCCTCTTCGTTTACGTACAGTTCTGGCTGGCTGCATTTGCAGCCTTCCTAGTCTCCTATTCAACAGACAACAGCACCATACAGGGCATGAAGATTGTGCCTGCTGAATATTGTTGAAACAAACTTACAGAGTTCTCTTCTCAGAGAGCATAATAGTCATGTGCCCATTCAATCTTTATTTTTAAGGAAGTGCTTTCTAAATTTATTTCATACAGGTTCTATGGTAAACTTTACTCTTCTTTTGTTTAGAACATTAGCTGTGGTTAGAAGTTTCAGGACTTGTACTTTTCAAATACTGTCCACCTGTGTCGTAGTTGTATGACTTGACGTGAAGATCCTTAAATCGTGGAACTCGAGCTTCACTGGGATTGCTCAGGCGTCATCGCCATTGGCTTCCATATTTCTAAAGCCCCTGGATGTTGTGGTCTTCAGTTTATCTGATACCATTCACCGCTCCCTGCTCCTTCAAACTCCTTTTCCTTGTCTTCCAAAACTTCACTACTGTTTTTTTCTTTGTCAGCCCTTTGCACCTGTCTCATCACCCCCAACATTTTGTGTCCCCCATAGTTCTTTGTTCATTTTTCTTTTAATCTCACACTGTGCAATATGTCAGAACAGTTTATTATAGTCACCTCAGCCATCATCTGTATGTGGGCACTTCCTTCATTGTTTGTATTTGCCTTGACCTCTTTTTTACTTTTCATATTCATATGCCTGACTACTTATTGAATGTCTGCACTTGAATGTCACACAAGTGCGTCTTACTCACAAGGCCAAACTGACTTCAGCTGCACTCCTGCCCTCCATCACCTCTTCCTTCTCGTGTTACCCTTGGTGAAGGGCTTTGCCATCTACCCGAGTATCCAGAGCAGAACTAGGACTCATAATCACCATCCCCTCCACCCTCGTCCCCGTTTCCACACTCATTTAGTTATCGAGTCCTAAACTTCTGTTGAGTTCCGCCTGCCTGTTTTTATTGATGTCACATTGGTTTATAACATTATGTAAATT